TATGTCTGTCCTGTCTGTCCTGAGGGCAGGGAGTGTGTGATCTTACTGACACGTACCCATCATCTGCCACGGCTCATGCTGGACTTAGTGCCCAACCCTCACTGTCTAACCTACTTTCACACGGGCAACTCTGCTGTGCCCACAAGGCATTGCAGCCTTGTACAAACACCTCCAACCCTGCTGCCCAGCTTCCCCATTGTGTCCCATGCAACCAGCACACTTTCCCTGGAATAGACCAGCTTCCCAGCCCTGGAGCCTTATCTACGACACCCCACCACCCAGTTTAGAAAGCTCCTCCCTCTCCCTCATCATCCATCAAAATCTATCCGAACTCCTAACCATTTAAATGTAAAAATCTAACCTACATCTCACCATCCCTGCACCCTGCCTCCTCTGTGACTCTTTCTCAGACCATTCCAATCCTCAGAAACCTGTCTCCTTGCAATTCTTCCCACACTGACTGGATCCCTCACCCAGCACCAAGCACTTGCTGCTTTGTGTTGTCCCACATGAGTTCTCATACGTAAGTCTTGTTCCTACAGCTACATTATAAGGTCAAAAAAACCCAGAAACTCTCTTTTCTAGTTCTTTACATGTCTCCTATATGCATCTTCTTGAACTGCCTAAGGCATAAAGATATATAAATGCCTGTTGAGTGAAAGTTAAATTTCATACATCTTGAGAGCAAATTTTAGGAGGTTCTTGTTCAACTGGGCTATGCTTTCCCTAATTGCAGCACTTAGGATTCTGGATTGGAACTGTCCGGGTGTTTATCTGTCTCCCCCGCACAAATCTATAATTGTGAGAGCAGGAACTCTGCCTTGTCCACTGTTGCATCCCCAGGGGAGTGCACAGTGCCTGGCATATGTGATAGTCACTTAGTGAAATGTTGATTGAATGAGTGAATATCCTTTCCCCTTGCTGTCAGCTGGAGCTGGGGTCAGGACCTGAATTCTGCCGGGTGGGGCAGGCTGAGCAGCAGTGTTGCCCCTGCAGATGATGGGGCCATTGCCCCATGACTGTGGTGACTCCCAGCTATCCGAACCCCCCACCCTGGCAGCCTCGCCCGCACACGCTTACCGTGGTGTGCCCATCGTCGTCATACTGCCGTAGCTGCCCCAGAAACTCCAGGTGCTTCTTTTCCTCCTCCAGCTGAGCCACGGCCTGCTCGCTGCGCTGTAGCCGCTGCTGGGTACCTGCCAGCTCGTCCCGGAGCCACTGGTTCTCCTGGCACAGCCGCCGCACCTGAGCCCGCAGCTTCTGTTTCTCCGACTCCACTGTGCTCAGGTGGCTGGCCAAAGCCAGCATCACCTAGGTGGGCACATCCTGTGAGCACCAGATGCTGGCTAGGAGTGTTCAGAGATAGGCAGGAGGAGTGGTGGCAGGACTAGCAGGAGCCAGGAAGTGGGGTTGGGGAGCAATGGCTCCACCTTCAAAATATACCCTGAATCCAATTTCTCACCAACTCCATAGTCACCATCCTAGGCCAAGCCACCGTCAATTCCTACCCAACAGCCAGATGATCTTTTTAAAATGTTATCTCTCCTCTCCTCATCCTTATGTTGACTTACAAGTTCGACACGATCTTCCCCCTCTCCCCAACCGCATTACCTCTTGAACTTCATTTTCTATTTTGGTCCCCCTCATTCACTCTACTGTAGCCACACTGGCCCTCACTGAGCTCATTGAAAAGGCCCTGGTTCGCCCTGGCTGGTTTGGCTCAGTGGATAGAGTGTTGGCCTGTGGACTTAAGAGTCCTAGGTTCAATTCCGGTCAAGGGCACATGCCCAGGTTGAGAGCTCAATCCCCAGTAGGGGGCGTGCAGAAGGCAGCCAATCCATTCTCTCTCATCATTGATGTTTCTATCTCTATCCCTATCCCTTCCTCTCTGAAATCAATAATAAAAAAAATTTTTTTTTAAAAAGGCCCTGGTTCAGGGCCTTTGCACTTGCTGTCCACGCTGCTTAGGGTGCCTTTCCCCCATTTATTGCATGACTCATTCCCTCATCCTCAAACCTTTGCTCTAATGTCACCATTTCAGTGAAGCCTTTTTTTTAAAAAAAAAAAAAGTTTTTATTAATTTTAGAGAGATGGGAAGGGAGAGGATAAAGAGATGGAAAAAATCAATGATGAGAGAGAATCATTGGTTGGCTGCCTCCTGCTGGGGAGCGAGCCCATAACCCAGGCATGTGCCCTGACAGGGAATCGAACTGGTGACCTCTTGGTTCATGGGTCTACACTCAACCACTGAGCCACCCTGGCCAGGCCAGTAAAGCCCTTTTTTGACCACTCTATCTAAACTCATATGCCCTCTCCATACTTCCTAATCCCCTTCCCTGCTTTAATTTTATTCTTTTATCCTTAGCAATTATCACTGTGGCATACTGAATCATTTACTAATTTATGTATGTATTGTCTGCCTCTCCCAGCTAGAAAGCAAGCTCTAAGATGGCAAGGATTTTTGAGTGTTGTGTTCATGATGTGTCTCTAGTGCACAGAAGAGTGGTGCCTGGCACATAGTAGGAGCTTAATACATATTTACTGAATGAATGAATGAATGAATGCAAGAATCTAGGACAAGGGGATCCAAGTGATCCCAAACCTCCAATCAGACGACTGCTCCTCCATGGGCCACTTGGCACCCTGTCTTCCCTCTCACCTGGGCCTCACTCAGCCCCAGCTCGATGTTTTCCATGGAACGGCGCAGCTGCCGAGCCTTCTCACGCATCACCAGTCCTTCTTCATGGCCTCCCTGCTGCAGACACTCAATGGTATGGGACAGGCTTTGCAGTACAGCCTGGTGTTCACTGTGCAGGGCCTCCAGCCCTTGGCTCACCAGCCGAGTGCTGCCCAGGATCTCCTCCTGGCTGAGCCGGTGCCCTGCAGGTTCATCTCGCTGCCCCAACACCAGGCCCGACATCCTGGCCTGGGGGACCCTGCCTGGGCTGGGGAAACAACAGAGCTCCAGTGAGGTGAAAATAAGAAAGGGAGCTGAGCACCTTGGTTCGAGGGTGGTGAGGATCCAAGTTAAGAGAGGAGAGAGGGTACGGGCAACCGTGTGTTTTAACTGGAGAGAGACCGTGACCAGGGGGGAGGGAACCTACAACACTAAAAACACAAAGCTTAAGGTTGTGGGAAAGAAAGAGGGAGAGGAAATGACTTAAACCGAGAGAGAGAGAGAGAGAGAGAGAGAGAGAGAGAGAGAGAGAACACAGGTCCTGATAACTAGCAGAGGGATTTAGAACTTAGGACCAAAACAGAAAAGGAACTGGAGGACAGCTTGGGTTAGGAAAAGGCAGCAGGAGACGAAAGACAGCACTAAAGGAGCACAGGGCGTTTGGGGAGAGTTGCAAAGGGAACAGGGTTAAAGCAGACAGGAGACTTTGCAGGAAATAGTGCCGAGGTTTTGGGGAAAGGGAAGGGTACGTTTCAAAGTTAAATCAGGGAAAGGAAGAAAACAGGAGCCCTCATCGCAGGACCCAGATGCAAGGGCCCCAGCAGGCTCCAGGGCTTCAGGCTGCGGCATCTGCAGACCTGGTCAGCCCTAACTCTTTCCCCACAAGTTTCCAACCCATATTCCCCACCCTCCAGGCCTCAGGCTATCTTCTTCCGTCCTCGAAAGGGCCTGTCTCTCATCTTTGCAGTCCTCTTACCTGTTTCCTGAGCACAGCCCGTGGCTGGGGCGCTCAGGCCGGAGCCCGGAAGACACTCGGATCGGCAGCCAGGGACTCGGAAGGACCTGCCCTGCCCAAAGTCCAGGAGTCCAGCGTTTCACCCCTTCTCTCACCACTTCACAGCCACCCAGAGGACCTGGCACGGAGCCCCACCCAGGACAAACACCCTCCCTCCTGCTGCAAGGCAGCGGGTGTCCCTCCTCCTTCCCCAGCCCGGGGAGCTGTTCTCCCCAAGGAGGGAGCGAGCCCTGACCGGGGACCTGGCCCGCGAGAAGAGGCGCGTCTGGTTAAGACAGTGGTTCTCAACCTTGGCTGCACGTTAGAATCACCTAGGAATCTTTTTTAAATCCTGATTTCTGGGCCTCATCCTCCGGAAATTCTGTTTCTTTGTTATGGGGTGAAGCCACAACATTAGTAACAAAGACACAGAATTTCCAGAGGATGAGGCCCAGAAATCAGGATTT